AAGCACGTCCTTCCCCATAAGCTATGTAGAAGCCCTAGGAATCAAAGGCGGAACATGTCACATAGAATGATGAAGTGGCTCTCTATGAAATGAGCTGTTGAGTCTGGACCTTCTAAGTTTGAGAGCAATCTAACAGCTATTATTTTACTCCAAAGGAGAAGGAAATCAGAATTCGTAGTGAAAATTATTTGACATAAGTGGTGTGTTGTACGTAAGGGAGTTGCCATTCACTCGATGGGGAACATAACAGGTTCTATGACAGATGAGTACCTCACTTAGATGGAATCAACCACTTTTCCCTTTGTCATGAGGCATGGAAGTTCCTTTGAGCATCCTTCAGATGTCTAATTCTTGATTTCCATAGATGACAGCTCCCAAACCAGGAACGACGAGAAATCTTGAGAAGTTATTTCAAATGGAAGTAATGGACAATAGCTCTCTTTCCTCCTCTTCCTTTTAAAAAAATATCTATTTAAAAATCTTTTTATGTAGAATACAGTGTTACTATCTTTTGGTCAAATATGCATTGGTACAAACATTATCCACTGAACTTGTTTATTACTGCAAACTCTTCCTTTCACATTAGCATAACAGAGACTTATGTATGGTGCAGGGGGTGGCCTGAGAGAGACAGGTTATAGAATGTATGCCTAAAACAGAAGATAAGAAACAAAAGGGGTGAGAGAAGAGGCTCTGTACCAGAGTATCAGTAGTTCCTCAATGAGGAGGATGGAGGAGTCTTGGGAATATCAAGAAGTCACCAAAATAGAAGAGGAAATACATGTCTAAAGAGGGAGGAAAATATATAGAATGATTTCTCATTCAACTCCAGTCAGCAACCTGTATACCTCCAGCCCAAAAGTTAACCACAGCCATGTTTCAAAGGCTCTGATTCATCCACATGGGTGCTTGTTGTTCAATCGTTGTTTGGCTACTGGCTGCTGACCCTGGATTTCCCACTTGCTGAATGAATTGAGTCCCTGGGTTAAATAAAACAAAGAGCCTGTGACAGTTCTAAGGGAATACCATAGTTTACACAAAGTCGTCTTTGGACTACTTCTCAGTTAACTTTTTTTTTAATTTAAAAAAGTCTAATTAAGACAATAATAGAACATAATTTGCAATCGGTCAGGAAGGCAAGTGGCCCCAAGAGAGGAAAGAAAATGATAATAAAGGTATGCTGTCTCTTGGCGAGCAGCCCAGAGACAAGGCTTGAAAGCGTGACAAATAGGCTACAGGTTAGAATCCTCCTCTTCCAAGCTGGAACTATTTGGAAGGCATACTGTAGCCTGGGCAAGAGACTAGCTGACTCTTTAAAGCTTCCAGCTCAGAGTCCATGGTGGTCCTTGGACTGATGAAGGAGACTGGAGACATCATAGTAGGAGTCCAGCATTTTAGAACCTTGAGAAGACCTACTACTTCTACCCCTTCATTCGACATGTGAGGGAACTGAGGTCCAGTGAGGTTAAATGACTCTCCCAGGGGAACACAGCTAGACAATGACACACCCAGAATGAGAACCGGGTTTCCAGTTGCCAGCTCAAAGGCTGTTCCTCCAGGCACACAGCCCCTCGAGTAGACAGAGTACCCGGGCGGGGCGGGGGGTGGGGGCGGTGTCAGGGTTTCGGTGGCAGAACCACAATGTTGATTGAACTTCAGTCGAGAATGCTTCTCACAACAAGATTTGGAGGAGAAAGACCTTGCCTGAGCCAGCTGAAAGAAGAGACTGACAAAGCCAGTAAGCATTGACTATGTTTCTGGGGCAGAAGGATGCAAGAAGATAAAAGGTCAAGGAAGCAAAGCCTGTTTAATTAAACTGGTGACCACGCCCACCTTATCCCATCAGAAGGTGAAGCAGGTCTAGTCAATACCTAAATACTAACAGTACTGCTAACAAAAACAGAAGTTAAAAGAAAATCCTTTTACTAGAATACCTGTAAATACTCATCAATAATAGTAATAGTAATAATAACGATACCTTTTTTTTATAAAAAAAAAACCAAAACACTTCAAATTGCATCTTACAAACACACACGTGGTGAAGAAATGCTTGTTTGTGTGGCTGAACATGAATCACGGTCTTCCCTGCAATGCTACAGCTTTATTCCCAGAGGGTGACCAGACGGGTACCCTCAAGGAATAAGGAATCTTAGTTATTTCTCTTTTATACTTAGATTCTCCACTTCCCTGATACAAACAGTAACACTGATTCTACAAGTTCTAGAAACAGAACACCGATGGGGAGGATTATCTGAGACACTTGATGCACACAGTTTGTGGCAAAAGTCTGATTTCTCTGTAAATTACTAATCTGAAATAGACACAACAAACTGTCCACAGCTTCAACTTCAAATGATTTAAACAAAAATAGAACGAGCCATGGACAGTGTCTGCATCCCTGTCCAATCTGATGTAAACAACGTTTGTAGAAATTGGGTTTGTTAAGAAAGTTTATCCATATACCTGGATAGCAATAAAAAGCGTTTCCTAGGAAACTGTAAGATCCTGTACCACACAGCATACAGCCCAACTAAGAGGAAAATTAGGTCGGTCTCTAAATTCAAGGTACAAATTTACACAATTGTCCTTAAGTCCTGTGATGATGTCCATGCGGTGGGCGTATCTGTCAGCAGCTGCATCTGCTTGCCTTCCCTCTCCCGCCTGCAGTCTTGCCTGTGAAACTCATTGGTCATGGTCTACTCTGGATTTCCTTCTCCACGCGATGCCCTGGACGGCCACAGACCCCCAGTGCCTTCCCGTCCTTCACTTCCAGTCCCGGCGTGGGTCAATACTGCCCTTCTGCTGCTAAAGACACTACCGTTTCATGCCTTCCCATTTCTTCCAGGACAGCCGCCAGCACGCTCAAGTTGCCATCTGGGAAGTTCTGTGCTTCCCAGAGATCCAGGATTACGCCAGTTGGGCTGGATTTGGTGGCAAAGTAATTCAAGTACCTGCAATTGGGAATGGGAAAGTGTGCTGAATGGTGAGATATACAGATCTGTTTTCTCTGCAGTTGGTACTCACCCTTTCTGTCTCTCCATTTGTCTTTTAAGTCTCCGGGTCCCACTGGAGAAGCTGCGGTTTACAGTGAGCCGTCCTAAATAACTAGCACACACTTAATTAGATCAGCCCCAGACAGGAGACGCGATGTTTAACTTTGTTAACCTCAACTCTGAGTAAGATAATTTAAGAGACGAGATGTCTATGGGTCATATCCTAAACAGGAAATCAAGACCCTTATGTTTTCTTTCCAGCCCGCGCTCTGATCATCTTTGACAGGTCACGCCATGTTTTGTGCTTGAGAGTGACGGCAGCATTCCACAGAGGAGGCTCTTGAGGTCTCTTTATAACTCAGCATCAAGGCTGTGATTAGCATGTTAACTAAGCATCCAGGGGTAGGTCTTGCTCAACAGGAGATGAGGAAAGACAATTACTTTAAGTGAAGGGACATATTATTTACGGGGATTTAGCCCATCAGCTTTGCAAAGTGGATCACAAAACTCGATACTTAGCTTGTCAGAGAAGCCCCCCGAATATCTCTCGACGATGTGTTTGCAAGACCATGGTGCAAGACACAAAAAAGAAGCTTCATACAGGTTTGCAGAATGAAAAGTAAATGGATGGATAGGAAAACAAAACAAAACAAAAAAACCAGAAAAACCAAATGCTGCCCTAAGTCTAACAGTTATCAGCCGCGGAGCTCTAAGTCTAACAGAAACCAGTCCTGAAGCCTGGCCACACCCACCTGTCCAGGTTCAGCTTATGGGCCAGCATCCTCCAGTCATGCCCTCTGGTCTGTGGGGCGTCCAGGCTGCTACAGAGCTTCTGCCGGATAGGGGGAGGGATGCTGAAAGCACTGGGGCCCGTCATGGTGGTGATGGTGCTCGCCGGGTCCAGCAGAGGCAGATCGATGCCAGTGGGTTCCTGTAAGTTCAGGCACAGGAACAACACAGCATTATTTCCAAAGACAAAAGCAAGCTCTGTTGAACCAATCGACATAATGCCTTGCTTTGAACGGTAAGAAGAGAATGAGTGCTATTCTTCTTCTTGGTAAGAATGGCTTCTTCCCGGCCGAAAGCTGTGACCTGGCTGAGAAGGACGTTCTGGGCTGACTTTGCACAGCCTTGGATATATAGGTTTCCGCTACGGACTGGGCTGGGCGAGGTGGGACCTCTGGCGTGATACCGGCTTTTCTCTCATCCTTTTCAGGATGAAAGAGGACAGAGGACTATCCATACTCCCAAAGGGTTAGATTTCAAGAGAGGAGAAATGTTCAAAAGGGCAGTTCTTTGAGAATGAACAGATCTAGGATTAGAAGGCAGAGCTTCTAGAAACTGTGTGACCCTCAGGGGAATGCCCTGGGCAAATGCCCCAGTCAATTCTCTCTCTCTGACCTCTGCAGAAGAAGAGTCGGTTCCGCTTTTGTCGAATGAAATGGAACACAGCCCACCCCCAAATGGTATCAAATTAAGACTAATTTTTTAAAGAAAATGGCGAACACAGTAAATTGCCTTAGGGCAAGCGCTAATGGCATCCTCCAATTGCTGTACACCCTTATTTTTGTTAAATCTAATTTTAGGAGAGAAAACCATAAATTGGCTCTTAAAATAGTTTCAGCTCATAAAACAGCACAAATGCGAAATCTGAATTTCATCTGCAGGAGAAACTCTAATCATTTTCTGATCACTTCTGCTGGTTGGAAAAGCAAAAGCAAATGTTGCCTGAGAACTATTAAAGCAATAAAAGAAAATCTACTTAATCTACTTTAAATGTCATCTCTTTCTCTTTTAAAGCAGGTAACTTCTTGGTGTACCTAATTAGTTGCTGCGGGATAAACTAGCCACGTGCAGTTTGAGTCATCATGAAGTCTCTGGTCCCGTGCAGAGTGCTCAGCTCAGAGGGGCTGCCCCCAGACCTGGCTGCCCCCGTGGGGATCAGCGCTGTGTCCCGGTGTAGACCGACGGCATGCTCTGTATTCTCGGGCTGACTGGCAAGGCTCACTGCTAGGCTTGTGGGATCCCGCCGCACGGGGTCCCATCCAGGGGCTTGGAGGGCACAATAGAGCAAAACAAATTCTTTCCTATAACACACGGGGGCGTTGTTGCTGCCGTCACAGTATTTGGCCTCAAACCCCCCCCACACTGGCAAACTGAGCCTCTGAGGATTCCATGCGCTCCTCCGTGTTAACTCCAGCACATGCCAGTTAAAAGACTGGTACGAATGAAACACATCAGCACTAAATGGGGGTTGGAGTCCCCGGATGGAGACGTGGCCTGCAGCTCATTCCCTGTACCTGGCAGAGCTCCTTCCAAGGGACCCTGAGCGAGGAGGGCTTCTGACCCCCCCCCCCCCCCGGGCACAGGGCTCAAAAAAGAGGGTCAGAAGAGTGACGGGGGGGGCAGGTGGTAGTGTTTATCAACGGATTTGCGTTGGGGATTTCTGAACCAAAGCGCTTCATCACTTGTATTAGGCAAAAAAAAAAAAAAAAAAAATGATGTGTGCAAAGGGTTGGGGAGGTGGAGGTGAAGAGAAATTACATGGTATTTCCCCAGCTTGGTGCCATCACTCAGGCTGAGATCCTTCCTATGGGGACAGTAACGACAGGGCCTAGAAGGAAAGCCCCCATGTCCCCAGATGTGACCGTCCCTTGTTGGCCGTGAAGATTAGGTCTGCTCAGGGAGGGTCTGCTTTGTGGAGCTCTGACTTCTGTCCCCAGAGATTCTTCTTGCTGCTGCAAAGAGTATCTAAGAGATACTAAAGAGTATCTCCTTACTGCTTGCCTGTGGTCTATCCCAGTCTGTCAGACTCATCTTCCCGAAGTGATGTTTCTCCTTTTCTCTCTCTTATTAAGAAGCCTTAAATGCTCCTTCTACCACATAGAGTCCCCACTTTTAATTACACAGTACGGGATATTAGCACCACCTGCCTTATCGGCTGGTATGAGGCCCCAGAGCTGATACTTAGAGAGTGCAGAGCCGGGCCTCACATGGAGTAGGGGCCCCAAGCCCCTGTGCTCCCCTCGCTTGACAATCCAACCCATTCCTTTCTCCTGTTGCCTGGACATGACTCAAACTCGTCTCAGACTGGACCACTCACTGTTCCTAGTGCCTTTTTTTTTTTTTTTAAGGCTCTACCTCTCATAGTTCTTCTTTCCCTGAATCTCTGTAAGGCAAACCTCTCAAAGTGTGGACCAAAGACATGTCCCTGGGATTCCCCTGAGCAAACCCACCCAAAGCCACCAACCAGGGACCTCCCGCAGCACTTTTCCCGGTCCACACATTCTGCTTGCCCTAGGCATGTTGGCCATATTTATGTGTTTACTTCTTTCGATTCCTCAAATTTCTCGGAGATGAAAGTATTTTTGTCATCCTCAGAACCCCTATGATACTCAGCACAGTGCTCTGCATACAGAAGTTCCTCAAGTCATATTTGTTGAAATGAGAGAAAATATGTTTCCTAGTACAGAAGGAGTATAAAGCTGCCTCCTGATAGAAGCCCACCCCACAGACTCGTGTTGAGCTTCCCTGCAAGTAAATGTGACTAATAATATGGCCCGTCTCACCATTAAATCCTGAAGTAAAGGCCAGGTAAAGGCAGGCCTGCCTCTCGGGAGGGGTCTGCCACATATTCATGTTGCCATCCTTTTCCTGGTGAGTAAAAACCTTCATCCCTTCATGTGGGCCTTCGAGGCCCGAGTCACCAGCCCTGACTACTGTGCCTATTTCTTTGTCTGTGGATGCAATAAGCCCATTAGGGCATAATTCCTTGTCTCTCTTATCAGATGGATGACAACGGGCTTGGAGGTAAAAGAAAAATATACATTTACATTTCATCTAAAAATTTCAGTTGCTATTAGTTCTTCCTTTCCTTCCAGGTAAGAGTAGAGTTTATTCTCACAGAATGCTTATTACAATAATCGTTTATGATATTGGTACCATCTGTCTTTGATGCCACGGTTCTCTCAGTTAAGCATATGATTTTTCAACATTAGCCCGGCAGCTGCTGTGGGTGACTGCGCACATTTTCAGTGCTGTGTGGGAGAAACAACTTTCCACTCCCGTGTTCTCACTCTCCTTCCTGAAGTCACCTCAGAAAACTAGATTTTCCTAACAGTTGTTTAAACAGGCTACAGAAAACTGAAGAGTAAGTAGATGGGATAAGTTCAGCAGGCTGATGTTACTTTGTGCATTTTAAGTATTATTCTTCATGTATAAAAAGTGTACAGAAAGTGGTTAGAAGGCCTCGCAAATGTGGGAAACTATAATCGTTACTTTTATCTGGGAATCAGTCAAACAAATGACTAATACTGCCTCCCGAAGTTCCACCTTTTCCAGGGTTCAAAGCTATGATCTAAAGCAAGGTGTGATCAACCAACTTGGGAAGACAAGCCATCTTCTTTACTCTGGGAATGAATATTTATTCATTTACTTATTGAGATTTATTTTTCATTCCTTTATTTTTATAGTGGCTGACTGAGGTTTTATTTTACTATTTTGATAGAAAGGGAATCTAAAGTTTACTTTGATGCCAGATGCCACAGACTGCAGAGGCAGAGTTTACTCAAGAACCCAGTAATCCTAACAGCATCAACGGGACCAGCAATAATGATGAACACTGGCTGAACATGGGCCATGAGCCAAGTTCTGTTCAGTGCACTTACTAACATTCACTCATTCATTGCTCACAAGGGTTCATCCTTTGTTATTGTACCAATTTACACATGACGAACCTGAGGCGAGAGGGGTGAAGTGATTGCCCTTATCCCCGTGGAACTGTCCATTTGGGAATTTCCTACCATAGGTCTCTGTGTATAGCTACCAGTAAATAGAAGGCCTGATGAGACTTTAAATTTCCCTCTCTTCTCTACACTGTTTTTTCTCTTGTTGATGGGTAGCTTCACTGTTATCACTCCCCCATAGCCCTCTTGAAAAAATAAAATAAAATTTTTCATTATTCACATTTGGGCGTGCATTCATGCCCCTGCTTTTCTTCTTTCAGACGTTTTCATTCTTAAACTCCATCTCTGTGAGACTGAAGGCTTTGTCTCTTGTTAAGGAATCTCTGGTCGAAGCACCCAGTACGGAACAATTGGCCGACTCTTGACATCCCCACGGTCTATGTCAAGCACAGCCTGATCTCCCTGGGGGGCAACAGGTCCTTCCTGACTAGAGAGGCCAAGGGCCACGGCTTTATAAATGACTGCTGGTGAGTGCGTTGAGTGGTGGGTGGCTGGGGGGAGGGGGCAGGACATTCCTGGCCAGTCGGCTCGTTCTTGGAAGAGCGCACTTTGGAACTGCAACCCCAGCCCACCTGCCAGCTAGCCTTGTGATCCCCGTGCAGGAGAAAGGCACCACAAATGGCGTCTTTTCTATGTTTGGTTACGGTTTGTCAGTCACAGTGTACCCCGACTCGGAGCTTTGGATGAGGATCCGGGGCTCAGGGCTCTCCAGAATCAATTGTTCGGAGCTGAGCCTTGTTCCTCAGCATCAGTACTCAGCCCCACACGTCCCCCCTCTGTGGGCCGCATGCACCCGCATTCAAATGCTAACCATAGCGCTGGGACGCGGTGACCCAGAAGTAAAAGCAGCAGAGTGCCCCATAATCCCCAAAGTCACATGACTCTAGTCATTTCTGCCCCTCCCTCAGAGAAATGTGCTTGTTTGTCACACGCGGTCAAAGGCCTCTGGCGGGACTGAGGGCTGGCCTCTCTGACTGCCACCAAGTTGCAAAAGAAATCGTCTTCCCTTTACCTTGGCACAAGGGTGAAAGTCCTTAAATGGTGGTCACACTTTGCAAAACTGTCCTTGCCCAGCAATGGCCCTGATGGGGGCGGGGGGGGCTGGGGGCAGGTGGTGGGGGCCCCTGAACGGCTCCCTTTCACGTGCTGCCGTCGCGCCTCATGCAGCTTTTCATCACACAGCAAACGTTTACACTGAACCGAAAGCAAGCATCAAAGGAGCAGACGTCCTCGCCCCCCCCCCCCCAAAATTCCGCAGCCTTTGTTGTCATGGGAGCTGGGTGGTTTTTGAACTTTGCAGACCTGCTGGGCCTGGAAAGTGAAAACACCCTCCTGGGCCAGCAGGGGTGGTGCTGTGTGCCTGGGAGCTAGGGCCTGCGCCTCGGAGGGCCGGATGGTTGCCATGGCGCTCTGACAGCGAGATCATTCCTTATGAATGTCACCAGGGTCTGTGACTAAAGTTGTTTATGAGTCAAAAGTCTCATGGAACTACAGCAGGAAACGGTGGCCGTGGCTCTCCGCAGGCTGTGGGAAAGAAGGATGGAGCGTCCTGGAGCCCGACATGCTTTCCCCCTCCTTGGTTTGCCAAGGAAGACAGTCTTTAAATACAACATGGGGCACGAAACACACCACAGAGTGTGACATTTCATTTGTCACTGTGCATGACACAGCGCGGGAGTCTTTTAAATCGACTGTCCCGCTGTAGTTTTAAAATATATGACAGTCCTGCACTTTGTGGTTCAGCCAGGGGCTCGAGCTTGGCTGAGAGGCCCCGGGAAATGCTGCCTTCTGACCATTTGGCTTACTCTTTTTCCTTTGTTCCTCCAGTGTGGAGGGTTTCTACTGTTCAAAAGGAGGATGGGGAGAACACGGTGCATGCACCAAGGGATGCTTCAGGAAAAGTGACTCCATGCACACACCACTTAAATTCTACCTTGTACTTGAAATTCGGATCGGTCGTAAAAAGTTAGAACATGATCCTTAAATTCATGACCTAAAATAGAAAAGGCTTATTTTTCAAAAAGGATTTCCTATTGTATTCTTTTCTATATCTTGCTCCCTGTGTTCATTAAAAATATCACTCTATTAATAAATGGGACCTATACCAAGCGTTTCAGGACTTCCCCCATGGCCTATGCTGAGACACCTTTATCCTCCACACCCCCCTCTCCTTCACAAGGTCATTGTCTCCCCTGATTTCTGAGGCAGACAAGAGCTTCTTACCTCCGACACGGTGCAGTTGAGCTGGAAGATCTGCCCTTCTCCTTCCACCTGTCGCACGCAGAGTTTGCAAACCAGCTCCACTGTGTTCAGGCTAAATCTTTCCAGGGTGAATGTGCAGTGGAGGTTTCTTTGAGACCCACTCCAGATATGATAAAAAGGAATCTCCTAAAGGATATAACCATGTTAACCGCCAATGAGGGACTAACACCGAAAGGGACTCTCAGACACTGCCTGCCAAATACTTTTCTCGGGAGTACACATTACCTTATTTAATCCTTGAGAGAGGCCCATGCATAAGGACATCCCAACCCACTTTTCGGATGAAAAAACCGAGGCCCAGAGATGTTAAATACCATCCCCCCCTCCAATCCCACAGCTAGTAAGTGGCAGAGCTGAGATATGAACCCAGGGAATCAGCCTCCAAAATCTATATACCTAACCAGTCTGCCACTTCCCTGTCATTTACAAAAGAAGCCATCGGAAGTGGGTTTTCAAAAGTTTAGCGAATTCCCAAAATAAAACCTACACACTCCAGTCATTGCTCATTAAAAGGAATCCCTGCCGTGGTGTTCTGGAGAAAAGCAAAGAAAGTCTAAAGGATAAAGCACTGACCCAGTTCCCTTTCATGCCTGCATGCCCCCTCTGCACAGGACGGGGAAAACCAAAACTCACTGCAAGCGGGACACTGGGGGCCCCGATGAGCTGCCGCAGAAAATCCTTGGCCTAAAAAGCACCAAGCCTCTAACAGACATACATTTTCTAAACGTCTGGACCACCTTAAAGAGCCCATTCTAGAATCTTATGTCCATAAAGGAAAGAAAAGGTTAATACACTTAAAAAAAAAAAAGAAGTGGGGAGAATATGGTGGTTAAGAACAGAGGCTCTGGAGCCCAATTCAGTATAAATGAGAACACCCTCCCCTTGCTTACTTGGTGTTGTGGGGTAAGTTAACCTTCCCATGCCTCAGTTTCCTTATCTGTGAAAAAGTAAGCAAAAGAGTACCTAATCGTAGACCTGCTAGGGTTAAATGAGATAAATCAAAGTGCACGGGTGTCTGGCAGATGGTAGGAATTCAGTCAGGCTTGGCTTGAACTACTATCAGATTATCATTATTACTAAAATAGTATTTTCTGTTCTGATCACACAAAGGATACTGTTCATAAAAGGGAAAGATTTATGGGGTTTTATGGCAGTTGCTAAAGAAAGGAGAGAAGAAAGCAGAGAGAGAGATTCCACGAGAAAGTCAAAAGCCAGATAGATCCCTCTACCGAGGGCTGAGTTATACAGAAAATTCTGGTAGGCACCCCCTACGAAAGCTCCACAGTGTTAGCAAGCTAGGGAGTTTGTTTCCCACAACTTATGTGTACATATTAGACCTACGAGACTAAGAATGAGCTGGAAATCTTCCCTTCACTCTTAGTATGTTCACTGACTTCTATCAGGAAGTCACAGCCTGTGGAGCTGCAGTGCTGGGGTGTGGGATAGGATTCTCATGCGTGTAGACACGGACTTGCAGCTTAGCGAAGTGTAGACACGGACTTGCAGCTTAGCAAAGTGTGTCTGCATCTCCTGAGACTGGGTATGAGGCTAGAGATCCCGTCACACAGCCTTCTGGGAGCTCAGGCTCAAAGACGTTGGGGGAGGGGGTGACAACCCCTGGAGAGGCCTCTGCTTTTCCCATGTGTCCATGCAGTGAGACTTTGGACCAGTATTTTTATGCTGTTATCTAATAAAATCCTGATCAGATTTTATTTGTAGGTGCTATTTCAATTTCCAAATTGGTGTTCCTTCCAAGTTTTCAAGGTAAAGGTATTTTCCTAGCAAGGCTGGGGTCTAATTTGTCACACGGGGGGTAACACTGTTCTTCCGCTTTCCCTCACAAAGGCATTTTTGAGGTTGTTTTTATCAATTCAGTGTTAGCATTTATTCTGAAAGCGAACTGAAATGATGGACTTGGAAGTCCTTTTACTAAAAGTAAAATAATGACAGTGCAATTATTTGAAGGGGAATTAAGAAAAAAAATTCAAATATTCTGGAGTATTTTTCAGAAATCCTAAATAACTTTACACCATTTTAGAGAAACAAGTACTGTTACAGAATTAATTTCAAGGAAAGGAATATCTTATGTCTAAATAATTTTAGACTTCTTTCTTGGAGCTGTCTCCAATCCTTTGGTTCAGCTCGGGAACCTTACCTGATATTTCGCCAGCAATTTACTTTTCCAGAGGGAATGGGTGATATCGTGAATCGACAGGCGCAGGTTGTGGGTGCTGCCTTTAAAATGAAGAGCCTTAGGTTCTTCTAGGAGCTGTCCTCCCATCTGTCTCTCAAGCTGCAATACTTCCTACAATGACATGCCCAAAGTCAAAAGCAAATCACTGAACGTATTACTTCCGCTGGCTGGCTCTCTCATCAAATGAGCAGGTTTCCTCACGGCGCCTCCCCCACACCACAACTAACTCGTGCAGACTCTCACTTCTGCAGCCTGGAGGCCCTCCAACGTAAGCCCCTGCCGGTTTGTGTGTGACTCAATCCTCCTGACCATCAACTCCCTTTCAGCAATCTGCATCATATGTTGTAAGGCAAATTCAGTACAGTCTGCATTTCCTGATGGACAAGTGGAAGATTTAATCAAATCCTGGAAAATAACAAGCAGAACCCCGAATGGGAAGAACTCCAAATGAAAGAAAAAACAGGCAAAAATATAAACAATTAACATAAGTCGATTTTCAATGAACTTTTAGGGAAAAGGGCAAATCACTAGAAAACTAACCCACGTCTTGGACTTGGCAAAACCAGCCAACAAGTAAAGATTTGGATTGCATTTGGGGCATTTAAAAAAAAAAAAAATTTGTAGTCCCTTTACCTACAGAAATAATAACATTTTTGCTTAAAATTCTCCATTGCACAATTCCCAATTATCAAAAACTAAAAGAAAACGTCCTATGAGAGGAAAATATACTGATACAGATTAGGAAGGTCTGTCAGCACCAAATATTGAACTAAACAGTTATATTCAGATTAAATCTGGAAAAGAATACTTCATTTCTCAAGAACTGTGGCTGATCAAAAAATTTGCTATGTGACTTTACTTATACTATAAAGATGTAACATGAAGACAAATTCTAAATATACTTTTATTCCTCAGACAAGCTAATGGGAGTTAACGAAGCATTTCCAAGTACAGCTGTAATTACCCAAACAGCAAAAACCCTAAGTTATCAATGAACAAAATATGCTGAGTCTCCTTTGCTGTCAGAACCATCCCTGTGCACTTTGGTTAGCTCCTGTCCTGCTTTAAACGTTTTAGTGACACTCATGTGTAGGCAATTTGTGACCTTTCTTTCTTTCTTTTTTAAGGGTTCAGGAAAATAATGGATTTTATAAGAATGTAAAAGGAAAACACAATCTTCTTTTTTGGTGACATTTCAGTTGGAAGCATGGGGTTCAATAACTCAGGCGCCCATTCAGGTCATTCCACACACATGTATTGGGCACCTACCAGAGTACCGAACGCAGATGGATCATGGCAGAGAATTGTGAGTATGGGAAGCAGACTGCCTTTTACCCAGAAATACGTCCACTGTGCATTTGTTGAATGAATTCTAACTCACGCACATGTAGCCCAGTAAGTGCAGAGCTTACCAACATTGATTAGGTGTAAATTGCTCATTTCTAGCTGCTTCTTAGTGGTTCTTAGCATTCATCATCTTTGAGTCAGGCCACTATTCTGAACAATGCAAGCCGCTGAAAGGTCCTACAAGGTGTAGGAAATATTAGGATAATATGGAATATGGTCTCAGACATGGATTCCTCTAATTAGTGTTTAATGGAAGAAACGAGGCAGTAATGCCCTGATGGAGAGACGGGCATGGTCCAGCAGCTTTGGAATATTTACACTGAGAGGATTCAACCTTGCTGGCTGACGAGTAGCTATTACTTGTGACAGGAGTCTGAGCAGTCAGCCGACCCCCAGCCAGCCAGTCGGCTACCGGAACACATATGTTGTGCCCTGGCTCTCTGTGCCTACAGCTCAGCAGGCTCTTGAGGGTCCCCAATAAGCCATACAGCTCTACCCAACCCAGGGTTGCACATGTTCCTTGTGGAACACTTCACACTCCATTCCTCGACAAGAATCTGGCCATGTGGAAATGAAGATGAACAAGAAAAGTGAGGGTTAATTGCAGTTTCTTCTGCTTCAGCAGCAAGGCATAATGAGCTTATGTTGATCACATTTGGTGTCTAGTTAGCATAATAGAGAAAGCTGATGTTCCCAGTGAACCTGGCACCTGACCAATTCTAAAGCTAAAATGATGTTTGTTTATAAGCCATTAGAAGAAAAGAAACATAATTAGAAATCTTTGAGATTACAGTCATGCCAATCAATCAGTTCTAGCTTCTTTCCAGTACACCCTAATTACCTCATCAAGACGTCTAAAGAGCAATCGATAGTAATTATCTGATTACTATAGATCTTCATTATGTCCAAATTATCTCCCTGGGATGTCTAAAAGAAGATGCATTGTATTCTGGGAGGAAATTGTACCCAACAATGTATAATCCACACCCCATTCCCACAATCAACATAGATTGCCAGAGGATATGGAGAACATTATCAGTTTTCTTGGCAGGGAGGACCATTGAAAAAAACCTAAACTGCCTATTGGTCATGACCTTGAAGTCAAGAAATCTAATACATTTGAATGCAAAGTCTGGGTTGGAGTCAGCCCAAGAATAGGCCTCAATCCTTGGTTGCTTCAGCACTGACCTCAAAAGGCATGATTAAGAGTTCTCACTAGTGGGGATAGATGGCATTGGCTTCAGCCTTTTTTGAAAGTACCAGGTAAAATGCCATTTTATTTTATATTATTTTATTTAAAAGATTTAAAGATTTATTTATTTATTTTAGAGAAAGAGAGTGGGGGTGGTGAGGGGCAGAGGGAGAGAGAATCCCAAGCAGACTCCCCGCTGAGCATGGAGCCAGATGAGGGGCTCGATCTCATAACCCCAAGACCATGACTTGTGCCAAAATCAAGAGTTGGACGCTTAACTGACTGAGCCATCCAGGTGCCACAGTAAGATGTCATTTTAAAGATAATGGAGATAGCAGAAAGCTGCTGCATAGAGTTGGGAGGAACCTAACTTTTTTGTCCCCTTTGATTAGATATGAACCCTGGTGAAAGATAAACTGCCCATTGGGATGTACCCATTCTTACAGGAGAGGTCCCTCTCCAAACATATCTGATTGCACATGCCTATCAGTCAAAAAACTGAGCATGCATTTTATGCTTCTTTATAAATGATATACCTATATTAACACATCAGTAAGTTACTGTATTACATTATAAAATACACATAAGGTTAAAAGTATGAGCTAAGATGAATAAACACAGAAGTATTATTATCTTTTTGGCCCCCAAATTCATTGGGCCTGGGGTGTGTGAGGGCCATTTTGGAGACCACTGGCTTGGGCAGATGCCCTTTCACTGCTACCTCTGGGAGAAATCAGCCCTAGAATAAATGATTCAGTAAGAAGAATCCTTACCAAACATAATTTTAATGTTCTTCCTGAGAAGTAGCAACTGATATCACACTCAGAATGTTCGACTTTAAGGAAACATAACAAAATAAAGGAGAAGACAATAACCAAAGCACAAATTAAAAATATTAAAGTGAATTAAAGATATTGTAAGCAATAAGTAAAACACCTCCTTGGAAACTACAATCATCTAAAACTACACGAGTCAGAGATGTCTGGACACATACAGCAAATCCACATACAGTTTTGCGCTTCACGTGTTCTCTTACACACCAAGTTTTTCCAACAAGTATGGACATGACTGCAAATGTATTTTTTCTTCCTTATGATTTTCTTAATAACATTTTCTTTTCTCTAGCTTACTTTATGGTAAGAATACAGTGCATAACACATATAGCGTATGTGTTAATCGGCTATTTATGTCATAAGGCTTATGTCATTAAGGCTTCTGGTCAACAGTAGGCTATTCGTAATTAAGTTTTTGGGAAGTCAAAAGTTATATGCAGATTTTCAACTGCCTGGGGGGGTTGGTGCCCATAACTCCCATATTGTTCAAGGGTCAACTATATGAATTTTACACCAGAAGAGAGAAGAAGCAAGCCCACTTGATACACCTAGTCAGGCTTGTGTTCCATATTGTTATGTTTTTAACTGTCATAATTTCAGATATGTTATAACAGATCCCACTTAAAAAATACGCTGTAACTTATATTTCAAAAGGCTTGACTTTCTGAGTCCTTCTGCATAGAACCATTTTATGATACATATGATACACAGAAGGAAGAGGACATAAAAAATAACACATGTATGAATCAATAAGGTATAGCTCTACAGTTAAATGCTTTCCTCTCCTTAATCTTCCTGAGAGCCTTCATTCAACATCAGTACAACGCACATGCCCTGCTGGGAACCGGGTCAGGCTCCGGGCCACACAGACGAGTCCCCGACCCTGCCTCCTACCACTCAGGGAGGGGAGAGCACCACGTAAACACGTGACCCCAACCCTGTGTGCTCGGCTCTAAGACAGCTTCCAGACAGCTGCTTTTGGATCACACAGTTAGGATATTGCACACACCTTAGGGCAGAATAAGAACAAAATACATTTAAGGTCAAAATACTTAGTTAGACTTCAGAAAAATTTAGTGACCTTGGAAAGAAATGCCATCATAGGAATCAGGATCATCTAGGGTCTTTGTTCTCAGAAATATAAATGTCACCTTCCTTTGCAAAGGTTGTCCTCCCTCTTGGCAGGTCTCCCCCCTCAGGGCCCTGTTTTGGTTCTGGGTGACTCTACCTGTTGCTTTGATAAACTTGCTCTACTTCTGCAAGAAGGGGTCACTCTCTGACTTCCTTTGTCATGTCTACCTTCACCCCTGCAACTTGACCTTGAAAAGACTCTCTCGGGAGTCAGTTATTGGCAGAGGTGGGAACACATGCAAGACCCCAGTCGTAAAGTCACCAGGAGCAGGCCCCGGTGTGTGTGAGTCTGCTGCCAGGATCCGAGCAATCCTGTAGGATGGCTGCTTCCCCCAGCTCAGTGGCTGTCCGGAGCAGGCTCTTTGGTGGCCCTGAGTGAGGGCTCTATTGATTCAGGGGGCCTGTGAGGGATCGCTCGAAAGGCAGGGACAAGAGATTCCACAGGAGAAACAAGCTGCTTTCACAATAACCAATTAAACCAAGACATTATCCATGCCAAGCCATTAGCCTGGGCCACTTAAGAGCCACAATAAATCGTAGCTGTTTTAAAGGCCTGTGCATACGTACAAAGGGAGCACCTCTGGCCAGTACCCAGAACTCTCCCAGGCTCTTAGCGCAGAGGATCAGCTCTCATGGAGGCGGCATAGGGCAAGGCGAGGGGAAGGAGCCTTACAGCTCCCACACTCTGGTTTTCCCAACCCCAGAACTTTTCATGCTGCATTACTGCTGAGGTTAGACTACATCTGCCTCCAGGCCCCTGGAGTGTCAGTCTCACGGCTAGTGCACGGGAGAGCCCCTAGACAACAGAGCTGCAGGCGCCGAGATGCTCTGAGCGCAGGTTAAAGAATGCAGGAAGTCTCTGCCCAAGGGGACTTTGTGCCAGGAAGTGTGTGAGGTGCTGGGGCCCTGGTTCTGTTCTCCACACTCTGTGCTCACCCTCTTCTGCTGCAGAACCTGTCTCCTCTCTTCCCGAGGCTCCGAACCATATAGCCTCCTTGGTTGCAGACACTTGCTTTAGCTTCCAGTTCCTCAAGAAGTGATCATCCAATTTGTGGGTTACTAGCCCTTAGCCTTCTCCCCTTCCCCCGACCCCCCTCGTTTTCCTCACTGCCCTCCTAGCAATCCTTTCCTTTCCTTATCAGAAATCTTATCAGCTAGAGAAAGGAGGAAAGAAATGATTAAACTCGAATCTCATATAATGCATTAAAATTTCTTCTGGAAGAGAAGGCTGGAAGGAGGTTAAATCAAGGCTTTGTTTT